GAAATTTCTTGATGTAATGTGAGAGCCGATCAAAAAAAAAAAAAAAATTCTTGATCTGAGATTTGTCTGTGAACTATTAATTGTTATGATTTAGACCTTGTACATTTTAACTTCAAATCCATTACCTCTTAATTATGCCGGTGGGTTAAACCCCTAAATTTACCCCAAATAAGAGGTAGGAATAGATCTGTTTTTTTAAAGAAAATATGAATAAATTGTTCTTTTAAATAGTTGATAAGGAGAAATACTAATTATTTAATATCTAATGTATAAGTCAATTTTTTATTAAAAATAAATTTAAATAGCAAATAAAATTTTAATATATGATGATTATACATTTTAAGTAATAAATAATATATTATAATTAATGATTTAAAAAAATAATTTATCCCTATTTTTTTAAAAAAGTAAATCTATTCTTACCCATATTTAAGGAGCGGATTGAAGGGTTTCGCATAAGCTTGGGTGTGTTTATGCCATAGCGTTTCTTTTTCTTTCACCAATATACTGTGTGCCATAGTTGTGCTCGATGGATTTATTTAGTAAGGATCTATCCACTTGAATTTAAATTTTACTTTTTTTATTACGAGTCGACTTTGTTAGATGTAATATTACTGTTAAAATTTTTATTGAAGAAGTGGTTAGAAAAACTATTAAATACTTTAGTAAATTTTGTAGTTAAATTTTGTCAAAATGGTAAACTTTTACTTAGTTGATAAAAAATGGATGGTGGGAAAGTTAGTCGAAAGATGTTGAAGTCTCACATTCAAAAAGCTAGGCGAGAAAGGGTTTTTTTTTTTTTCCTCATATGCAAGGGGCAGCATATTTATGTACTTTGGGGGGAAATTTTCCTTTTAAAAAGTGAAAAGAAAATAGTAATTATTAGAAATTGTGTTAAAAAACATAAAAATATAAAATATAAATTTTACTCTTCTTTAGTTGTACTCCTTGTATGTTTCATTTTAGTTGTTTCAGTTTTTGATTTAACACATTTATAAACAATCAAGGGATTGGTTAATACTTCATAATTTGGTGTTAAAATAACAAAGTTAACCCTAATAAAAGCTTTATTGTCTTTATAAATAGATTAGAGCAATACTCATAAAATTGAAATAATAACATCTAATAATATCTTATATAGATAAAATGTGAAACAATTAAATTGAAATAGCCGAATTTAGTGAGAAAACTAAATTTATATGAGGGAGTAGTATTGAAATGTGAAAATATGAAAATAAACCAAGTCCAAATAAGGGGAAAAAACTTTCCTCCCAACCAAACACACCCTATAGGTTCATTGATTCTATTAATAATCATGCATCCACTGGTTTTGAATTTTTCAGGTAATTGGCCATGGGATCTCAAACTTGTTGCTTGACAAGATGCGCGATGTTGCAAAGAAATTCTTTGCGCTCCCAATTGAAGAGAAGGAGAAATATGCCCGAGCCGTTAATGAGTCTGAAGGTTATGGAAGTGACAGAATAGTTTCAGAAAAACAAGTTCTTGACTGGTTATATCGCTTAACACTTAAAGTCTTTCCAGAAGATAAAAGAAGGCTAAATCTTTGGCCAAGAGATCCAAATGATTTCAGGTATTTCACATTTCACCTACTGCTACCCTTAACAAATTCCTTCCGCCTAAAAAAACACAGAAATTATCATCATCTCATCTTTAAAAAATGAAAAATAGTTGGTATAAACTCGGTTTATTATACTTTCTGACACTCGTTAAAACATAATGCAAATATAGTCAATTCCATTAATTTTTGCATCTTATATGTATGATTACATTTATGTACCTCTAATTTCAGATAAAAAATAATAATTTTTTAATAAATGTGTTGTATAATATATTGAATTAGTGTATGCCTACCAATATTTAAAAAATAATAATAATAAAGTTGAATGACCAACTATCACTTATTTTTTGTCTCAAAAATAGAATTTTTAGTTTGAACTTTTGGTTTAGGATGTTTATATTAGTAGTTGAAATGCAACATATGGTAGATAGTCAATGTTTTACTGTTGATAATTTTTGTTGTTTGTAATTTAAAAATTTTTCTATCCACGTAATTACTCCAACGTTAGACTCAAATCTCTATACAAAACACTAAGATTAGTACAATCAGCTTCAAGAGGGAAAGTATTAACATCATCTGAGCATCCCCTTGATGATATTCTATTAAAAGAAAGTAAGAAAAAGTAAGAAACTGAGCTCCCTCTACGTTTTCTTCCAGGGGCACTTTAGACGAGTTTGCGTCGAAGATAAAGACTGTTAACAACATTCTATTTAAGGCAATGGCGAGGTCACTTGATTTGGAAGAGAATAGCTTTCTAAACCAATTTGGAGACCAAGCAATGATGCAAGCGAGATTTAATTTCTATCCTCCTTGCTCTAGACCTGATCTGGTTTTTGGTGTCAAACCTCACACAGACAGATCAGGACTTACAGTTCTCCTACAAGATGGAGATGTGGAGGGTCTTCAAATTTTAGTAGATAGCAAGTGGGTCAGAGTTCCTGCTATTCCTTATGCTCTTGTGGTCAATCTTGGTGATCAGATGCAGGTATTACCCTAGGCTTTACTTGTTATACTTCATTCATACAAACCTTTTTCACACAACAGTTTATTTAAAATTTTAAATTTATAATTCTTAATTAATTTTAATTAATTTTTTAATGTACTTTTAATAATTGTAATTAATATTTTATATATTTTTAAATAGTAAAAGAGGAAAAACCTATAGTTATAGCATAACATAACATAGCAGAATATAAAACTAATAAACAAAGCCTTACTCTATATTCATTGCATTTCATGCTCGCACTTGAGTAGGAAATTAGCAGTCCTTTCTTAACTTTAAATTTTGTACATGATGAATATTTGTAGATAATGACAAACGGAATATTCAAGAGCCCAATGCATAGGGTGATTACAAACTTAGAAAAAATGAGGATTTCTGTGGCATTCTTTAATGAACCAGACCCTGAAAGAGAGATCGGAGCTGTGGATAGCTTGGTGGATGAGCACAGACCAAGGCTATATAGAAATGTGAAGAATTACGGTGCTATCAACTATGAATGTTATCAGAAAGGGATGGTGGCGCTTGATACAGTTAGAATCTAAGTCCTCTTGCCCGTTATTTTTCATTTTGATCGCCTGTAGTTCAATAACAACTTTGTTGCTTCTCCACACTTTTCCAAGATTTGTCTGTCATATGAATCAGTGTTATGTAATGTTACTGCAAATGCTTTGAGTTTAATGATAATTCTCAGAAATAAATCTTACGTATAAATACATGGAAAAATAATAACAATTAATATTCGGTATAAAGATTATTAAGAAAGCCTAAGCAACTACCGAACGCAATCCAATCGTGTCCTGTCAGCCACATCACACTGCCTCTGCTTTCCATTTCTACCTAGGGAAAAACTTGGTGAAAATTAATCAAGAGAACCTACGCAAAATCTTTTAAAATATGGGGGAAAAACTCACAATAGGACAAAGTATTGGGAGAGAACCCCAATTTTGTTCATCCAATCTAATCGTCAAAGAGGTAGAGATGACAACTGGGGTGAGCGACGAAGTAAAATAAGTGACGTTTAAAAGTGTACAATGTCTGTTCTGTTTCAAGATTTTGGGCGTGACATGTGTAATATTTACAGAAAGTGTAACTCAAACTTAAATGAATTGGGAGTCAAAATGTTTGTAATCAACTAGAGTGAAGCATAAAATAAGTTTTTGTTAAAAAATGATTACCTTAGTTTTTTTTTTTTTTTATTAAACCCTTTGGAATTCGAAAGTTACATTTGGTTTTAATTAATCTAAAGTTGATCACATTGAATCTCATAATTTGTTTTTTATTAAACCCTTTGGAATTTGGAAGTTACATTTGGTTTGGTTTTAACTAATCTAAAGTTGATCACACTGAATCTCATATGGGGAACTTTTTCTAGTGTTTATTTTTCTATTTATAAGATTCAAAGTTGAGATCTTATTTAAAAAAAATTAAGTTCATTCCATTTAGACCAATCGATAGTTAGTAATATTTACTTTAGTCAGGTGGACACGAGAATTCAAACCTAATTTATTATCATGACTAGTGTTAAGGAGATAGTGAGCCAAGGATGACCTACCTCCGCTGCTGGAGAAAACTGAAATAAGGTCAACATCATTAATTCGAGAGAATGAGGGAGAGAGAGAGAGGGCGAGAGAGTTTCAGGGTTGCAAGTATCGGACACCGGACTAGGACCAGGCGGACTGTACTAGGTAGAGAGTTCAACCGGCGCAGAGGAAGAAGTCGACAAGGAGGGGTGGACAGGGCAGAATAGAGGGCATGGTATGGGAAGTAGAGGGAATATATGGAAAGGGGATATGATGTGGGAATGTTCAAGCAAGCAACTGGCTTCTTCTTCACCAACATTCCCAATGGCTGGAGCTACTTTGAAATGTGGGCAGAATTTGCAAAATTTGGCAGAGTATTTGCAATATACAGCCCTCCAAGAAGAAGCAGAAATGGAAGAAGGTTTGGCTTTGTCAGATATCTCAACGTTAAGGATGAGAAGGAACTAGAGAGGAAACTTGATCAGATCCGAATCAGGGGCCACAAGATATGGGTTAACATAGCCAAGTATCCTTCAAAGGAAGTTAAAGAAAGGGAGACAAGGAGAATCGTAACCACAAATATGGTTGCTGCAGGAAAATCATATGCAGATGCAGTAAAAGGGAAGTTGGGAAGGGCTCCACAAAAAGCAGAACATATACAAGCAGAGAAGAGGCCGAAGTTGGACACCCAGATAGCAAAGAGCAGAAGCAACAATATACCCAGCTAGCAAAACAGTAGACAAACGTGGAAACTCAAAAGCAAACAAGAAGAATGGTTAGGAATTGAGTACAACGTCAAAGAAGAAAAATATGAGTGGCTGCATGGATGTTATGTGGGCATTGCTCACTCAGTGGAAATAGTGTCAAACCTTCAAGAAAAGTTTTATATGGAAGGTTATTTCTCTTGCAGACTCCGAGCAATGGGGGGCAAGATGATCTTAATGGAATGTGAGGATAAAGAGGAATTAAAAGAGCTAGTACAGGGTGTTGTAAGCTGGCTGGGTTAGTGGTTCTCAGAAGTTAAACCTTGGACACCTGCAATGGTGGCAAATGAAAGATTTGTCTGGATGAGATGCCTAGGAGCACCAATTCATGCTTGGGGGCCAGATTTCTTTGAGAATATGGCTAATGCATGGGGCAAGTTTATATGTCTAGATGATAGTACAAGCAAGAGAAAGAGATTCGACATAGCCAGATTCCTTATATCGACGTCGATAATGGATTTAATCTCGATTAAGAGGCAGATCAAAGTTAATGGAGTCTTCTACAATCTGAAATTTTTGGAAGAGGAAATGACTAATAGTCTATTCTCATTAAGGTATGATTTTATACCAAATTTTAAGAGCGATTCTTGCTCTAAAGAGTCATGGTCGGAGGACAGTGATGATGATGAGGAGCTGGGAAGTAAATTCAGTGCAGAAGATAACGGAAATATCGACGGAGAAGAAGAAGATGTCAGAGGGGAACAAGAGTTAAATGAGCTAGACAAACAGTCGACCAACACTGCGTCTGACAAAGCAAATTTTGAAATGAAGGGCATGGGTGAGTTTGAAATTGTGGTAGAAAGGTGGCATGAATAAGTGGAGAAGATTTGACAAGATCACATACAGCCAGCTGGGTGAGGAAGAATCAGTGGAGATGGTGGCGGACAGTATGGAAGGGCTTCTAGAAGCAAGTGACATGGGGAGTGGTGAAGAGGTGGGGCTTTGTAAATTGGACTCTAAGAGTAGGACAACAACGGACTCAATAGAGAACACGAAAGAATATGATTTAGGCCAAAGGCTAAAGCCCATATTGAAAGGCTTGGGTCCAATCCATGAAGAACATGAAGAAGGAGACAAGGATATGAGGGCTCCATCAGATTCAAAAAGCAGCACCCAAGTGGGAGAAAAGGGGGACTTGTTGGGAATATCAAGAAATGAGGAAAGAAGGGACCATTAGCAAATTTGCAGTGAGATACAAGCGGAGACACAGAGCGAAGAACCAAGGGTGAATGAGAGGATAAGCACCAGCAGAGATATAGAAAAAAAAAAAAAGAAGAAAAAGGAGAGCTGTGAGCTACAAATCAGTGTACCAAAGAGCAATAATGTTTGGATTAACGAGCCAACGAAGGAAGGGCCGAAGCAAATTTAAGAAGAAGGAAGCAGAGAAAGAAGGGATTCCGAGCTTCCTTCCAAATATGAGTAATTCGGTGGCAGGAGGATCAGTGGGAGACAGTGAAATAGAGAACTGCAAGAGGATGCTGAAGGAGCAAAGTAGCCAGCGGACAATAGCAAAACTATGGGAATTTGCAAAAAAAAATTGGTGTGGATGCAGAGGATGAGGAAGAGGCTGTCAAGATCCTTGAAGAAATGGAGACCCGTGATAGAAAAGAAAAGGCAGAGGGCAGCTCAAAAGAAGAAAGAAAGAATAAGAAGGTTAGTGAAGCTGAACAATGAATAGCTTATCCTTTAATATTAGAGGGATTGGAGGTGCTGGGAAGAAAAGGTATATTAGAGATCTAGTAGTAAAGGAGAAAGTGGATTTTTTAGCAATTCAGGAAATAAAATTAGCAGGAGTAGATAAAAAAGTTTGTAGAGCAGTGTGGGGGTCTGAAGATTTTGAGTGGGTAGCCAAGGATGCTTGTGGAATGTCGGGTGGCATGCTTTGTTTGTGGAACCCCAAAGTGCTTACCATGTCCAGAAGAATAGAGGGAGAAAACTTTATAGGCATAGAAGGAATTTGGGGGAGAGAGGCAACCCCAGTGAGCATAATTAATGTATATTCCCTATGCCAGTTATCGGGGAAACGAACCTTATGGGAGGAATTGAAAAAACTGGTTTCCGGTAAAGGAGGTAATTGGTGTATTGCAGGTGATTTCAATGCAATAAGAAAGACAGAGGAAAGAAAGGGGAGCAGGGGTATAAGCAGTGAGATGAGAGAGTTTGACAGTTTCATAAGAGAAGCAGATTTGATTGGTATCTCGTTAGTGGGCAGTATATGAGTAGAATAGATAGATTTCTACTTTCTGAAGGGTGGTTGTCCAAATGGGGTTATACCAGACAATGGGGTTTAAGAAGAACAGTATCAGATCACTGCCCAATCCTACTCAAATTTCAGCAAGTAGACTGGGGTCCTAAACCATTCAGGTTCTTTGATGCTTGGTTAAAGATGGAAGGTTGTAGGGAGCTAATAAAAGAGGTATGGAGCAAAGCAGAAATCGAAGGATGGGCAGGGTACCGTCTCAAAGAAAAGATGAAGTTGACAAAGAAGGCACTAAGGAAATGGAGCAGGGACTCAACCCTGGATATTGAGAGTAAGATAAGCAATGCTGCAGCAGAGATAGACTGGATTGATAGCAAGGGGGAACAAGAGCAATTGACGGAAGAAGAAATCAAGAAAAGAAGAGAGGCCACAATAACCTTATGGGAAAATATGAAGAGAAAGGAAAGTAGGATCCAACAAAAATCAAGGAAGACATGGTTAGCTCACGGAGATGCAAATACAAAGTTCTTCCACAAGTGTGTAAAGGGGAGATGGAGAAGAAATGAGATGAGTAGCATACACATAAATGGAGTCCAATTAAAGGAAGCTAGCAGAATGAAGGATGAGCTCGCTGGTTTCTTTGAGGAGATGTTTAAGGAAAAACAGAGGGTTAGGCCAAAGCTGGATGGGGTGTGTTTCAAACAGTTCTCACAAGAAGATAATGATTTCATAACTGGACCCTTAAGTGAAAGTGAGATCAAGGTAGCAATGTGGGAGTGTGATAGCTCGAAAGCACCAGGCCCTGATGGGTTTAACTTCAGGTTTATCAAGTGCGAATGAGAGATAATTAAAGATGATGTGATTAGATTCCTACAGGAATTCCACAAGAACAGCAAGATGGTGAAAGGACTCAACACATCCTTCATTGTACTGATTCCCAAATCGGACAATCCACAGAAGATAGAGGAGTATCAACCCATCTCTTTAATTGGAGTCATGTATAAAATCCTAGCCAAGTTGCTAGCCAACCGCTTAAAGAAGGTGCTGCACTAGGTAGTGGGAGAACAACAGACGACATTTTTAAGTGGAAGACAGTTGATGGACGGAGTTTTGATTGCTAATGAGGTGATCGACAAAGCAAAAAAGAAGAAGAGGAAAACAATTATGTTTAAGATCGACTTTGAAAAGGCCTACGTAAGGTTAGTTGGGAATTCCTGGAATATATGATGCAGAGGATGGGATTTTGTGACAAGTGGACGAAGTGGATCGGAGAGTGTTTAAGAACAAGCCTTGTATCAGTTCTGGTCAATGGTAGCCCAACAAGGCAATTTAGTGTTTCAAAAGGTCTTAGACAAGGAGATCCCCTATCACCCTTCTTATTCCTAATCATTGCGGAAGGTTTAAATGGGCTGGTATCAAATGCAACTCAAAAAGGATTGTTGGAGGGAGTCGAAGTGGGAAGCAGAGGTCTGAAATTGTCACATCTTCAATTTGCAGACGACACAATCCTATTTGGAGAAGCTACTGAGAAAAATGTCCTAGCAATGAAAGGAATTCTGAGAGCATTTGAAATCGTCTCTGGACTTAAGGTCAGTTTTAACAAAAGCCAACTGATGGGAATCTGTGTACAAGAGGAATGGTTGGATAGAATGGCATGGCTGCTGTGCTGCAAAAAAGGAAGTATGCCGTTTAAGTATCTAGGAATCCCTATCGGGGGGAATTCGAGGAGAATAGCCTTCTGGAAACCATTGCTGGAAACCTTCAACAAGAAGTTTCACACTTGGAAGGGTCGGTTTCTTTCTCTTGGTGGTCGAATAACTCTTATTAACTCAATACTGTCCAGCCTCCCTATGTTTTGGATGTCACTGTACTTAGTCCTGAGAGGTATGATTCTTTTAATTGATAAAATTCGTAGAAGATTTTTGTGGGGGGGGGGCTCTGAGGGAGGGAAGAGGGTTAATTGGGGGCAAGTCTGTAAAGGAAAAGAGAGTGGTGGATTGGGGGTTGAGGACTTGAGGAAGTTTAATGTGGCGTTATTATGAAAATGGTGGGGGAGACTAATGTCGGAAGGAAAAGGATTATGGAAAACTGTCATTTGTGAGAAGTATGGAAGGGTAGGGGAATCGACCTATAACATGCTAAGGGGGGGAATACAATTTGGATCAACTTGGTGGAGGGATATTTGTAGAGTGAATCAGGTAGTTGGTGATAACAGGGGCTGGCTTACTAATGGACTAAAAATAAATGTAGGGGAAGGGGCAAGAGTAAGTTTTTAGTGGGATGAGTGGGGTGAGGGAGAGAGTCTTGCTAACAAGTTTCCAAGACTTTACACATTATCTACAGGAAAGAACAACAACATCAATCAAATGAGAGGGTGGCAAAATGCATCATGGGTGTGGAAACTAACGTTGAGGAGAAGCTTGCACAGCTGGGAAATGCAGCAAGAATCGGAACTTCAAAGGCTGATTCAAGAAATCAAAATAGAAAAAGGAAAACCAGATGTATGGAGGTGGATACATAGCAAGGACGGGAATTATTCAACATGTTCAGCCTACCAAAGACTTATGGGAGAACAAGGCAGCGAGCAGCAGGATTCAAAAATGTAGAAAATATGGAACACATCAATTTCCAGCAAAATCTCAAGATTCTCATGGCAAATGCTTCAGGATAAAATTCCAACAAAGGTAAACCTGTTAAAAAGAGGTATTATAAAAGAGATTGAGGAGTGTAAGTGTGACCTTTGTGGAATGACATATGAGGATACCAACCACATCTTTATTCATTGTGAAGTATCTTATAAATTGTGGAATGCCTGTTATAAATGGTGGGGTATCAAGACAGTACTAGACAATGACTGTTGGAAGGTGTTTGAATAGCATGGCAACATGGTGAAAACAAAGAAGGAAAAGGAAGTATGGGAGTGCATATGGTTTGCCACAATATGGACAATATGGCTAACAAGAAACGGGAGGGTATTCAAAGGAAAGGAAACAGACAGAAGAAAAATGCTAGAGCTGGTGCAACTTAAGTTCTTCAACTGGTTAAAAGATAAAAGAGGAGGTTGCTTATTCTCACTATCTGATTTGCTACAAGATCCGGCAAACTGTCTAAAACTTAACTGTGTAGGCAAAAGAAAAAACAAAGAATATACAACCATCAAGTAGAAATAGAAGCAGATGGATAGAAGCCACCACAACATCAAGGAAGGGTGTGAGGAGGCTGAAGAATACAAGCATGCTGCAAACAGTTGGAAGGTACCAGAAATGCAACTAAGGAAACCCAGAGCCAAAAATATCAACAAGGGAGGTTATGGTATTTTGGAAGGGCTGAGCACCGTGAAACCCGACACGGTCGTGATGTTGACACTTTATTACGGTGTCGACACCAAACGGAAGAACTAAGCCCCCAAATCTCCGATACGGACATGGTGTCGACACACAATATAGGTGTCGACACCGAACGGAAGGGCTATTTGACTTGTAACATTTCAAACTGAAATGTTTACAGGTTTGGGGTACCTTTGTACTCCGTATCAATAAATATTACTTTTACTTTTCAAAAAAAAAAAATATTTACTTTAGTTAGGGTGAGTGAAATTGCTCCAAATTTCTGTTTGTATTGCATTTCCAATGTATAATTAGCTTAATCATTTCACAAGCATTACCTAATAAAACTTTATGTTTATATCTAACTAATTACAACTTTTTAAAATATAAATTAATCACTACTTTAATAAACTTTCTTAATT